GCAGTCCTTCATAGGGCTTCGAAAAGGAGGTACTGTATATTTTCTATTAAGGACTGTGACTATCAGGGGGCACATCCCAAGCCCAGGGTGCCGAATCACTAGCCGCTTAGGGTTTCTCAAGGGACTAGAGGAGGGACCCGTGTCAATGAACCTTAAACGCTGCGTTAGTCTCTGGGGACTCTATGAGGTAGATATAGGGGCTGCATAGGGGAATAAGATGAGGGGTCCCTTCTAAGGGTCCCTCCTTATATCCCTTAAGTTTCTTGGGAGGCTGCCATCTCTCTGCTTGCTGAGACCACCTTGATGCGACTCGCGGTGAACAGGCGGCCGATGTGGGTGGGGGGGACTTTCGGGTTCAGGGTTCAGGGTTCAGGGTTCAGGGTTCAGGGTTTAGGGTTCAGGGTTTAGGGTTTAGGGTTTAGAGTTTAGGGTTTAGGGTTTAGGGTTTAGGGTTTAGGGTTTAGGGTGACGTCGCACGGCCAAACCGCGTGATTCCCCACTACTCCCCCACGATGGAAGGCAATGCAATCTGGAGGGCAACCTTGGGTTTAGGGTTTAGGGTTTAGGGTTTAGGGTTTAGGGTTTAGGGTTGAGGGTTTAGGGTTTAGGGTTTAGGGTTTAGGGTTTAGGGTTTAATTAGGGTTTAGGGAAACAACTGCGGTCCCCTTCTGGCCGCATTTTGAGTGATTCTGCACAGATGTTTTGTGGCAGAAATGACAGGGGCCTCCCAACGGCCTTCCTAGACGTTGGGACTACGATCTTGCAATTTCGTGGTGGGTCCGAGCAAATCCTTGGGTCCCTGTTTGACTCGGGTTCTGGAAGCCTCCTTGGCCTCACTTAGCCGGACACGCCGGAGGCCCCGAAAAGAGCCGAGGTAACCCTTAAACCGCAAACCCTAACCTCTTGACATGCGGCTTGGAAACAACAAGCATCAACGAATCGCCCGACACGCCAAAGGACCGTAAAGAGCCGGAGCTGCCTGTTTCCGAAGCCGATACTTGAACAAAGACACGTGCATCGGCATCGGCGCATGAAGAAATCCGGCTGATGAACATTAGGCCCTGATAGAGTATACTGTGGGTGGCCGGGGTGGGTTGATGGGCAACGCAGCGCGTGGTGGCGGTCGCTTCGCGCCCGAGCGCGCGCCCTCGCATGACACACCCCAAACCCCAAACTTCAAACCCTAAACCCTAAACCCTAAACCCCAAACCCCAAACCCTCAACCCTAAACCCCAAAGATAGGGCTCAGGGATTGTGCACTTCTTTGCTCGGGCCCCTGCTTTAGGGTGCTGGTCCGCTCGGCTGCGGCAACGTGTGAAGCACCCGGCAAGTGGCGCGGCCTTCAGGTTTAGGGTTTAGGGTTTAGGGTTTGGGGTCTGGGGTTTGCTGTTTGGGGTTTGGGGTTTGGGGTTTATTGTTTAGTGTTCAGGGTTTAGGGCATAGGGTTTAGGGTTTAGGGTTTGGGGTTTAGGGATCAGGATTTAGGGCTTTGGGTTTAGGGCTTAGGGCTTCGGGCTTAGGGCTTAGGGTTCGTAAGGTTTAGGGTTTAGGGTTTAGGCGGAACTATTTTGGGAGTTTTGGGAGGTTCAAAGTCTGCAATGACATTGATATAATCATTCCATTTCACGTTGCTGGAAGGCTGGATAGAGCAAGCTCAAGCCAGAAAAGCCGGTGAGCAATTCGGTTACAGCGGAATGCAGACCCCTACACACTGAACCCATGGTATAGGGATTAGGGTGGAAGGTTTAGGGTTTAGGGCAGCCCCAATTTCTGTCAACCCTGCTGTCGCCACATGCCGAGGTGGGAAGCGGCGACAGACCTGTTGCGTCATGCGGTCTGGTCGGGCCTTGTTCCTCGGTGGATTTGGGTGACGGCTTGGGGCTGAAGAGGTATCTAGGACGTACCCTTTTTTTCGCAGGGTTACCGGGAGGTATCCCATGCTTCCTCAGAACAGTCATCCCTTGGTGTTTACCTAGGCGCAGAAGAAGTACCGAAGTAGTTTTTAAGCTCTCAAGGCGTGGGGTTTGGGGTCCAATGGCTTGGTGGCTCGAAGAAGGGTTGAGGGTGGCCCTAACCCCTAACCCCTAAACCCTGAACCGTAAACCCTTAACCTTAACCCTAACCCCTAAACCCGAAACCCTAAACCTTAAACCCTAAACCCTAAACCTTACAAACCCTAACCCTAAAACCCTGTAAGCCCTGAACCCCAGCCTCCAGGCCGATGTGCTAGCCTACACCGTGGCGCTGGGTGCCTGCGGATCCGCCACTCAGTGGGAGCGGGCGCTCGCGTTGCTTGCAGAGGCCCTCAGTTTTGCCAGTTTCGGGGCCTCACAAAGTCAGAATCCGGAGGTTTTGGGGGCCTCAAAACCACAAACATGGGAATTTGGACCCTAAACCCTAAACCCTATAAACCCTAAACCCTCAAACCCTCTCTGAGAATGTTGTAGGTGATCGCTGGCAACTCAGTGGTTGGGCAGCTTGTTGGTTGTTGTTTACCCCGGCCTGTGATTTTTCGCGAACTGCATGGGTCTAGGGTTCAGGGTTTAGGGGAATTCAGGTGGACTGTGAGATTTTGGGTTCGGCATCAAGCAAAAGTGTCGTTCAAGGTCTCTAGCTACTGCTCGCTTACGAACTACCCAAAAATTTGAATACTCTTCCCTGTAAGGGCAATGAGGGGCGTCTTTTTTCAAAACCCTAAAATCCTAAACCCGAAATTTTAAGGTGGTTATTGGGCAAATAGTGGCTAGGGCTTCAAGAAACACAAGTTTACTGTGACTCCCGGGCTCGATCACAATTGCAAACAGAGAATGTAAACCCTAGACCCTAAACCCTAAACCCTAAACCCGAAACCCTAAACCCTTCTAGGACCCAGAGTCGGCCTTCATTCCCTTTTTATTAGGGCTTAGGTTCCCCCAAAACCCTCTTCATCAAAAGGGCGCCCTGTTTACTCCTACAGGTGTATGTTTTAGGGTTTCGGGTTTCGGGTTTAGGGTTTAGGGTTTAGGGCTCAGGGGGTCTGGATTTTGGGTCTTGTTACTTACCTTACAGCTCACTGCAGCACACTTGGACATGCACTCATCAGGTATTCAGGCTTCTGCAGCTTCCTACCGCTACGGCAGCTAAACCCTAATTCCTAATTCCTAAAACCCTAAACCCTAAACCCCAAACCCTAAACCCTCCTAAACCCTAAATCGGGGGGGGGGGGGGGGGGGGGGGGGGGGGGGGGGGGGGGGGGTTGGGGTGATGCTGGGAGATGTCAGGACCCTTGTTGTGATGAAAAAATCCTCCTTGCGTGGGGGCTCCTTCAACTAAGAATTTGGGTTTAGTTCAGGCTTTAGGGTTTAGGGTTTAGGGTTCAGGGTTCAGGGTTCAGGGTTTAGGGTTTAGGGTTTAGGTAATATAGGGGTCGGAATAAATACTAGTAGTTCTCCCTTAGGGTCCCTTGATAGTTTTACTATAATAACTACCCCCAAGCCCTATTCTAATGATGCAGGCCCCTATATTATGTCAGGAACCCCTTTTCCTGCTTCAAATTTTATAGGGTTCTTAAGGGAGGGGGGTTCAAGGGGGGTAGGTCCCTGACAAACCTTAGGGAAGCTTAGGGAGCCTTAGGGAGTAGTGGGGAGTATTAGGGAACCTTGGGTACATACCCCGCTTGAATTCCCCTCAAGAACCCTAAAATCAAAAGAGCTCCTCGGCCTCCCATTGTAGTTTCTCTCTTCTGCAGTTCCACGTTCTGTGGTTAGGAGAATGCACAAAGATATCTAGCTACCTCAGTGAAGGGAACTACAGTGGGAGTCTAGCACCCAAGGCCTTAAATCCTGCCGTTTAGGGTTTAGGCTTTAGGCTTTAGGCGGTTTAGGCTTTAGGCGGTTTAGGCTTTAGGCGGTTTAGGCTTTAGGCGGTTTAGGCTTTAGGCGGTTTAGGCTTTAGGCGGTTTAGGCTTTAGGCGGTTTAGGCTTTAGGCGGTTTAGGCTTTAGGCGGTAGGCTTTAGGCGGTTTAGGCTTTAGGCGGTTTAGGCTTTAGGCTTTAGGCTTTAGGCTGTAGGCTTTAGGCTTTAGGCTTTCCAAGAGGTCAACCCCCGTGACCTTGACTTGGTGGCCTTGAGCGCAGCGATCGCGGCCTGCGGCCAACGTCCCGCGAAGGGAGGGAAGTTTATCGGTTCCCCTACTACCCCTAGGGTTTAGGGTTTGGGGTTTAGGGTTTAGGGTTTAGGGCTACTCCCCCCCTCTTTTCGGTCCCCCTAGGTTCCCCCATAATCACGGCTATTTAGGGATCATTCAGCCTAATTCAGTTTATAGGGCTTGGCATGGGGTTTGGCTTTGCGGCATAGGGTTTCGGGTTTAGGGTTTAGATTTAGGGTTTAGGGTTTAGGGTTTAGGGTTTAGGGTTTAGGGTTTAGGGTTTAGGGTCTCGGGGGTTTACGCAGCTCAGGTTTTCGGGTTTAGGGCTTGAAGGGCGGTTCGGGTTTAGGATTTTATGTCAGTTTTGGACTCATGTGGTTTTGGGGGTTAATTGGGTTTCTGGGGGAGCCCTTTCCAAGCACAAGTCCGAAAGCCACTAGAAGTCCTAAGCCTAGAAAAAAGGGCAACCCTAAATCCTACACTTGTCAAGTAAGGGCGGCCCTCTCCGCAAACTCCTATTGACCTTCTTCAGTTCTGAAACCCTAAACCCTAAACCCTAAACCCTAAACCCTAAACCCTAAACCCTAAACCCTAAACCTGAAACGATCACCCCCCCAATGGTCTTGAACTCATGGCCTCTTCAAGGCAGCTTTTGGGTTCAGTGTCTAGGGCTGTTCGAACCCGAAACCCGAAACCCTAGCCCTAAACCCTAAACCCTAAACCCTAAACCCTAAACCCTAAGCCCTAAGCCCTAAACCCTAAGCCCTAAACCCTAAAGCCTAAACCCTAAACCCTAAACCCTAAACCCTAAACCGTAAGGGGACCTTGGATTTATGACGCCGACCCGGAGGTTGGCAAGTGGCAGGTGCCCTCCTCTCCTCCGCAAGGTCCTTCTCCTTGGAGCCCGACGCGGAGCTAAACTGGCTCTTTAGGGTTTAGGGTTTAGGGTTTAGGGTTTAGGGTTTAGGGTTTAGGGTTTAGGGTTTAGGGTTTAGGGTTTAGGGTTTAGGGTTTAGGGTTTAGGGTTAGGGTGCTCTAAGGGTTTACGGTTCAGGGTTCAGAGCCCGAAACACACTCAGTGAAGGAATATGCCTTAAACTATTCTTAGGAATCTCCCGGAGCTTCGGGGTCCTGTGGCCTATGAAGCCCTGTAGCTCTCAACTGCAAGCCCTGAATTCGATTGAGATCCTTGTAAAGGGGCTTGCACCCTAAACCCTAAACCTTCTGAGGATACTGTCTGCATCAATGCGGCCATCAGCGCTTGCGAGAATGCTGGAGTCTGGGAGCACGCCGTCTCCCTGCTGTCCTCACTTTGGAGAAGGAAGCTAAAGGTTTAGGGTTTAGGGTTTAGGGTTTAGGGTTTAGGGTTTAGGATTTAGGGTTTAGGGTTTAGGGTTTAGGGTTTGGGATTTGGGTTTTTGGGTTTTTGGTTTTGGATTTAGGGTTTAGGGTTTAGGGTTTCGGGTCACGGTCTTTTGCTAAGGGTTGGAGCCGGTCGTCGGATGTTCGGAGTTCTGGCTCTCACTTTGACATCGTCTGCTATCGACTTTGCGGTTTCTTGAGACAGCGCAGTGCGCGGAGGAGAGCCGCCAGCGTCTTGAGCTTCAATGCGGCCATGAGCGCTTGCAGCCCGTCAAGGGACAGTATAGAACCGTAAGCCCTAAGCCCTAAACTCCCTAAACCCTAAACCACCCAAGCAGGCCATGAGGATGAGGAGAGTTCGTGGGCTCGAAGAAGCCCTCAGGATTCAGGACATCTTGACAAAAGGAGTCATACCACACAGGGTGCCTATACAAGGCTCAACGCAACCTCAGAGTGAACCCCTAAACCCTAAACCCTAAACCCTAAACCCTAAGCCCCAAACCCTAACCCGAAGCCCTAAGCCCCAAACCCTAAACCCTAAACCCTAAACCCTAAACCCTAAACCCTAAACCCTAAACCCTAAACCCTAAACCCTAAACCCTAAACCCTAAACCCTAAACCCACAGGTAAGGCTCAGTGGAGGCACTGCCTGCAACTCTTCAGCGACATGGCCCACGGAAGCCTTCACGCGGACGCCGCGACCTTCAATGCGGCAGCCAGCGCCTGCGCCGCTCCGCTGAAGAACCCTGTTTAGGGTTTAGGGTTTAGGGTTTAGGGTTTAGGGTTAGGGTTTAAGGGGGAGCTCCGGTGAGGGGCCTCCAGGATGGGATTATAGGATTTGAGGTTTAGGGTTCAGGGATTCGGGGTTTAGGGTTTAGGGTTTTGGGTTTAGGGTTTGGGGTTTAGGCTTTAGGGTTTAGGGTTCAGGGATTCGGGGTGTAAGGACTTTTAGAAGGATACTCCCGAAGGTGTCCTAAAATCGAGGGAGGATGCAGGGCGTCTTCTCCTTAAAGCTCTCAAATCCCTAAACTGTACACCCTAAACCCTTATAAGAAGGTAGCTGCGGGGTCTGGAGCGTTCCGAAGCCCTCCGTTCCGAACCTGCCGTCCCGAATGCCACTCTCAACTCTGGTCAACTTGATAGGGTTTAGTTCAGGGTTTAGGGGTTTAGGGTTTAGGCGTTCAGGGCTTAGGTAGGGTTCAGAGTTTCTTCGTTCTTCCGGTTTATATTCTGGTTGAGAGGCGCTCGCGAAAACCAAAAAGGGCCTCACCGTCGTCCCTAGGAGGCTACAGTGCGAACCACCCAAAACCTTGCCGCCGGCCCCCCCCCCCCCCCCACCCCCCCGTGGAACAGTCGAAGCTGGTTTTGGCTCTCTTTGAAGGGTCCCCGGGGCTTTTCTGAATTTAAAGGGAGGAGTGTAAATGGCCGGGAATTGATTCTTAAAGGCGCCTCGGATTCTTAAAGGCGCCTCGCACGAAATTGTCTTCCCACGCCCGGACGATTTGACTTAATTGCGGATCCCACCGTGCACCCCCAAACAGTTCGAGTATCCTGAATAGTCCGGCCAACTTGATTTTATAGAGGAGACCCCTATGATTTTAGCCACTCTGAGTCCCACGGGCTTTCGAGAACAATGTTGCGACCAGCAACGAGCAAAGCTTTTCAAAGCTCGAGGTCAGTCAATTAAGCTCTTCGGTGGCGAATCATACTTTATTCTCCGGGGGCTTCTGAACGGAAATATGGGTTCCCACAGCGTCATGTAGGCATTGCTCCTGGCTGGTTTCGGATTACATCTCAGCTGAAGTAGGCAGTGAGGAAGGTTGAATAAGGCGGCAATGAGGAAGTCGGCATCATGCCACGTTTTGACTAGCTCGACTCCAGCAACTTTCGCAGTTGAAAAAACCAGAAGTTTGTTCAGTTTCTGGAAGCAACCGGATGCACCAATAAACGCTAAACCCTAAACCCTCATTTGCTGCTGAGGAGCAGGGCATCCAGTGGCAGCGCATCCTCTACTTGCTAGAGGAGATGGAGATGCGAAGGATCACGAAGGAGGGGGCGCTTGCAATAGTTCGCGAAACCCTACGTACACGAACTTCCACATGGGTATTTCCCAGTAGGGATGCCCCCTTTTATACCCCAAATGCATAAACCCTGAACCCTAAACCATAAACCCTATCAGGGTTCATTTCCTCCCCTAGCTAGCAACAACTAATCTACTATTTGCTCAAGAGCCCCCCAACAAATGAAAAGTAACGATCCCTATACCACCCTTATGAGGAAGAAACATGTTTTACTTTTTGGGGGTTCTTGAGCAATTGGTCGTCATGTGCAGTACAAGTGTAAATCGACTGTAGATGGGTACAGATGGAGTCATGGAGATCTCTGAGGAACACATTCAACCATGAACCCAAAAGCCCTAAACCCTAAACCCTAAACCAGAAACCCTAAACCCTAAACCAGAAACCCTAAACCCTAAACCCCAAACCCCAAACCCTAAACCCTAAACCCTAAACCCTAAACCCTAAACCCTAGAGCGAGAAAGGACGTGGCCACCTTCACTGCGGTTATCTCCGCCTGTGCACGGGCGTCGGCCGCCGAGAGGGCTTCGGCGTTGCTGGAGGAAATGGAGGCCTGTCCTGGTCCTGAGGCGTTTGGGGTTTGGTTATTTCAGGGTTTAGGGTTTAGGGCGAGGGTTTAGGGTTTAGGGCTAGGGTTTAGGGTTGGGGGTTTAGGGAAATACGAGCTTGGAGGCGAAGTCCTGGAGCCCACGTCAAAAGAAAACGAAACTCATAAGCATCATCCTAGCAACTTCAATCCCCCTGGACCGAGGCCCCGGGTATATTCTAGGAGAACCCTTCTGCTAAGCTAAGCCTCAGCCCCTGCCCTACAGACTAACCCCCCTAAGCCCTAAATGGTCCAAACCTCCTAAACCACCTGGTTCTTACTTGGGAATTCGGGAATCATAGGGCCCTACATAATACATACCCTTTAAGAGATTACGTGGGGTACCTGCCTCGTTCCCTATCTAAGAACCAGCCAGTAAAGGCCCGGCACCCCAAGAAGGTACCCCTAACATCGCAAAGCCCCAAATCTCCTAAACCCTAAACGGCCCTAAACCCTAAACCCTAAACCTTAAACCCTAAACCCTAAACCCTAAATCTTCCAAAGGCCCAGCAACTTCTTCCCAATGCCGCCACCTACGCCGCTGCAGCGCTCGGGCGCTGCCATCTGCCACGGCGGGCGTCCGACGGTCTCTTAGTAGCCGGTTTAGGGTTTAGGGTTTCGGGTTTAGGGTTTAGGGCCGTTTAGGGTTTAGGGATACTATAATTTCCTGTAGAACTGCAAGTGCACACTTTTTAGGGGCTTCTGAACTCAGCAACTAAGGTCTCGTGCGCGCGGCCATGGACGACCTGCAGCTGCTACGAGCAAAACGTCGGGGTTTAGGGTTTAGGGTTTAGGGTTTAGGGTTTAAGGCTTATTAGGGCTTAGGGTTGGGTAAACTTATGGTTTAGTAGATTTACGGTTGGAAACCACCCTGAGCTGTGAACCTTGCCCGAACGCTTTAGAAAGGTGTAGGCTGAAACGGGTTTAGGGTGTGGAGTTACAAGGTGTAGAGGTTTGATAGGGTTTCTCAGGGCTTGATCGGGCTCATCCGATCTGCACGGCTTACAGGGTTTGGGGTTGGCTAAGGGACTGAAAGAGTGGTCGGTTTTTTTTTTTGAAGTTTTTTGGGCTTAGGGTTTAGGGTTTAGGGTTTAGGGTTTAGGGTTTAGGGTTTAGGGTTTAGGGTTTACGGTTCTATGGGGTCAGGGCCATAGATGTGCGTAGGGCTTCGTGGGGTTACCGTGTGCAGCGGTTCCTATTGGACCCCGACCCCGGAACCCTAAAACTTCCTAGCCTGACCCCTAAACCCTAAACCCTAAGCCCCCTAATTCCCTAAACCCCTAAACCCCTAAACCCCTAAACCCCTAAACCCCTAAACCCCTAAACCCCTAGACCCCTAAACCCCTAAACCCCTAAAAACCCTAAACCCTAAACCCTAAAACCCCTAACCCTAAACCCCTAACCCCTGAACACCTAAACCCCTAACCCCTAAACCCTACACCCCCACCCCCCCCCCCCCAAAAAAAAAAAAAAAGTCTCCGAACGAGCGCCCCACAGGTGCCTCAGGTCCAGATCGTGGACAAGGACATCGAGGTGCCCATCCCGACGCCGAGCTGCACCAAAGGGATTGGAAAGGGCTATTGGGGTTTAGGGTTTAGGGTTTAGGGTTTAGGGTTTAGGGTTTAGGGTTTAGGGTTTAGGAGCTCGGGATGTGTCCCCCTTGTGCTATAAGGACTGTTAGTAGAAGGGGGAGCATCCCAATTTATAATTACGGTCTAGTGAACCTATGTAGGGAACCGACCAAAGCTTTAGGGTTCAGGGTTTAGGGTTTAGGGTCCTAGGTCCTTGGTAGTCTTGGCCCCAAATATTGTTGTGCTCCTCTGTATAGTACAGAGGAGCACAACAGAGAACCTCACTTGGAGAATTTGCGAGAACCACTCACGCTGGTGCCTGAAAGCCTCAAACTCTAAACCCTAAACCCTAGACCCTTCAACCCTCTGACCCTGAAGGCCTTACACCCTCAAAAGTTTAAACCCTTAAGCCCTTAGACCCGGAAAGCTTTACACCCTTAAACCCTAAACCCTAGAACCCTCAACGCCTTACACCCTCAAACCCATTGAACCCTAAGCCCTAAGCCCTAAAACCCTCACACTCGCGCAGCTCAGGGTTCATCGCCACGTGCCTCTCATCCAGAAGGTGCAGCACAGAAGGGTTTAGGGTTTAGGGTTGGGGGTTTAGGGTTTAGGGTTTAGGGTTTAGGGTTTAGGGTTTAGGGTTTAGGTTTAGGGTTTAGGGGCAGGGGCTTTTAGATGTGTGCTTTGGGTTCAGTGCATGGTCCTTCCAGACCCCACTTAGACTGTAGGTGAGTAGAGTTACACGTACGCGTAAACCCTAAACCCTAAAGACTATAAAGACTAAAGCCCTAAGTCCCTGAACAAGAACCGTAAGGCTTTAAGGACTGGTATTTTCAGGTTTTTGGGCCCAAAGGCCTTGTCATAAAAGGTTTTTGGGCTATTTTGAGCCTAAGGGCAAACCCAAGAACCCTGAACCCTAAGCCCTGAACAATTTGTGTTGCAGGGTTCTGTGTGTGGTCAGCTCTCTAAAAGAAGGTCCTTTTTGTAGGCACTCTTTCGTATTGCGCCCGCTTCTCGCGTACCATCATTGAGAGAACTTACCATTTAGGGTTCAGTGAATTTTGGCTTCAGTTTTAGATTGCCTCACCCTCGACCCTACAAACTACTACTAACCTGCCTCGAGCAACTTCGGGCGTAACTCGGTGTATCCTTCCGGAAGAAGAGGAGTTGCTCCTCTAGATCCTGGACTCTAAACTCTAAACCTTTCTGAGCGGTAATGGAGGGGTCGGAGTTTTTTGCTAATAGAGTTCCCTCATGGCTCCTGTATACTTATACTACAATCACCCCCAAACCCCTATTCAAATTATTCAGACCCCCCCCCCCCCGCCCCCGCCCCAGAACCACACGGTGCAGGTTCAGGGTTTAGGGTTTAGGGTTTAGGGTTTAGGGCTTAGGGTTTAGGATTTAGGGTTTAGGGTTTAGGGTAACCCACACCGGTGCAGGTTCAGAAGCATGTGGAGGTTCCGGTGATAGAGACAATCGAGAAGGTCATCGAGGCAGGAATGCACGCAGTGTTGCGGGGTTTGGTGCCAAGACAGCTTTTGCTGCAGGGTGAGGGCTTGGGGTTGAGGGTTCATAGGGTTGAGGGTTTAGGGTTTAGGGTTCAGGGTTGGGTTTATAGGGTGTAGGGGTTTTAGGTTCCAGGGTTGAGGGTCTAGGGTTCAGGATTTATAGGGTTATAGGGTTATGGGGTAACCTCAAAAGCAGAAGCTGCAGACTAAGCAAGGCCATCTAATCTCGTTGCTCCTGGCTTGAACCTAACGAGCGTAAACCCCGGTAACCTGCCCCCCACCCCCCCCCACCCTATACTCCCTAAAGGTTTAGGGTCTTTAGGGAGGGATTGACAAGAGTGGTCAGCAGCCCCCCTCCCGCCACCACACAAGTTTAGGACCCCGGAGAAGGGCACCCTTTTTTCTTCCGAGGTTACTCTGGAGGCCTGGTTGTATTTTGAGTCCTTTGTTCTCTTATGGGGGGTCCGAACCCCCTAAAGCCTCATAAACCTACACCCCAAAGTCCTCGCCCTAAAGCCCTAAGCCCCACAACCGAAAGCCCTAACGTCCTAAACCCAAACCCTATACCCCAATCGTAAAGCCCGAAAGCCCTACACCCTAAAGCCCCAAACCCAAAGACCTAAAGCCCTCGCCCGCTACAGCCTTTAGAAAGCCCCAAGCCCTACTGCCCTAAAGCCCAGAAACCCTACACCGCCCGAAACCCCCAAAAGCCCTAAACACTAAACTCTAAACCCTAAACCCTAAACCCTAAACCCTTAGCCTAAACCCTAAACCCTAAACCCTAAACCCTAAACCCTAAACCCTAAACCCTAAACCCTAAACCCTAAACCCTAAACCCTAAACCCTAAACCCTAAACCCTAAACCCTAAACCCCCAAAAGCCCTAAACACTAAACCCTAAGCCCCTCAAACCCTCCTTTCATGCCTCCGGTTCATCGAGGTGCCCGTCGTAAACCAAGTGGACATTCCTCAGGTGCGGTTTAGGGTTTAGGGTTTAGGGTTTAGGGTTTAGGGTTTAGGGTTTAGGGTTTAGGGTTTAGAGGGCTGAAGGTTTAGGTTTTAGGGCTTGGTGCTTAAGGTTTAGTGCTTGGGGGTTTAGGGTTTGCTTGAAGGCGCACATGACTTGCTAACTGGCCATATGTTGTGGACAGTTTAGGGTCAGCGAGGTTTGAATCCTCCTTCTGCCCCGCCCTCACTGGCCTCACGTTGGTTGCCCCCTTCTGCCCCTTAAACCCTGAACCCTGAACCCTAAACCCTACACCCTACACCCTACACCCTACACCCTAAACCCTAAACCCTAAACCCTAAACCCTAAACCCTAGACTAAACCCTAAACCCATGAGGCTTCAAAAAAGGGTCTGTGCCTTAAGGAAGACAAGGGCCCATGAACCCTAAACCCTAAACGCTAAACCCTAAACCCTGAACCCTGAACCCTGAACCCTAAACCCTAAACCCTAAACCCTAAACCCTAAACCCTACAGACCCAATCCACAGATGAACATGGTGTAGGTTAGGGGTTGGGGGGTTTAGAGTTGAGCGTGTTCTCGCGGGAGGGGGTGGGGGGTTTGTATCCACAAGCTTTTGGGAAGCGACCCATCCCAGATTCTTGGGGGCCACTGATTTCTTGCAAGGGAAGTCGGGAATCAGGGTTTAGGGTTTAGGGTTTACGGTTTAGGGTTTGGGGTTTGGGGTCTAGACAGCGATTATGTGGAGTACCGATTTCCCTTATCCCTAGTTCATTGCGAAAAAGATGGCCCGTAAGCTTCGCTCTAGAGCGGCGTTTCGGCCGCCGAGCCCTTCAAGCCTGAGCATGCTGTGTAATGAAGGATTTAGGGTTTAGGGTTTAGGGGATTGCCTGTCTCAGAACCTCGAGGTCACGGGATGAGACTTCAAAGCATTGAATCCCGAAAGCCCTCCAAGTGTCTATCCCCAATCCCTGAACCCCGTAACGCCCCGAAACCCCAGACGCCAAACTCTAAATTCGAAGCCCAAAACCCCAAACTCTAGCCTCGAAACTTAAGCCCTCAGGCAAATGGTCAGGTTCAGGTTTAGGGTTTAGGGTTTAGGGTTTAGGGTTTAGGGTTTGGGGTTTGGGGTTTGGGGTTTAGGGTTTAGGGGTCAGGGGCTTGGGTTTTAGGCTTGCCCCCCCTGTTTCCTCGTGTGCTTGCAGATTCAAACGGTCGAGAAGAGGGTGGAGGCCCGCCCTTGCTGACCCAGACCCCCCTAAGCTGGGTTTAGGGTTTAGGCTTTAGGGTTTAGGCTTTAGGGTTTAGGGTTTTCGGTTTAGGGTTTTAAACCCCTGAACCCTATGGTTCAAGGTTTATAAGGGAAAAACACCCCCGCCTGCTAGGCGCACATCAACCCTTGCTCAGGGGCGACTACTGGGGGGGGGGGGGGGGGGAGGGGGGGGGGGGGAGGGGGGGGTGAGGGGGGGGGAGGGGGGGGGAGGGGGGGGGAGGGGGGGGGAGGGGGGGGAGGGGGGGGGGAGGGGGGGGGGAGGGGGGGGGGAGGGGGGGGGGGGGGGGGGGGCGAGGTCAAGTCTCAACTAGCTTGCAAGATCCACGAAGGGGTTTTACAAGGATAACCCTACAAAAAAGCTAGGCTTTGGGTTGAGGGTTTAGGTTTTAAAGGGTTTAAAGGGTTCAAAGGGTCTGAAGGGTTTGAAGGGTTTAAAGTGTTTCAAGGGTTTGAAGGGTTTAAAGGGTTTGAAGGGTTTAAAGGGTTTAAAGGGTTTTAAGGGTTTTAAGGGTTTAAAGGGTTTTAAGGGTTTTAAGGGTTTTAAGGGTTTAAAGGGTTTAAAGGGTTTAAAGGGTTTAAAGGGTTCAAAGGGTTCAAAGTTTCAAGGATTTAGGGTTTAGGGTTTAGGGTTTAGGGCTAGGGTTTAGGGTTTAGAAGCCCGACGCCCTGAACTTTGCGACTCTGCAAGGTGCCAATCGTGCAGAACGTGCAGAAGGTCGTGGAGGCCCAGCGCCCTGCAGGGTTTAGGGATTTCCTGTTCAGGGTTTAGGGGTTAGGGGTTTAGGGTTCGGGATTTATTCCTTAGGGTCTAGGGTTTTGCAGTTTAGAATGAAGTTCAGGTGTCCCAAAACGGAACTACACTTGGGGTCTAGGTCAGGACTGTGTGTTGTCTTTCTGCTTGTATACAACCCAAGGCTTAGTAGTAGAGTAGGTGACCTTTAATCTTCTTGGGTTAGTATAATCCCTTATAATGCCAAAGGTTAACCTTTAGTTCCCCTACATACTGGGCAACTAAGAAGGCCCAGCAAAAGATTAGCACTGTGTGAAGTAACTAAGGGTTGATATTGCTGCTCTTCACGAGAGTTGTTAAGCGTTTCGGGGGGTTCTTTTGAATCTTGGTGAGTGTCCTCTTGGGGGTATTCGCAGCAAGACCCTAACCCTACACCCTAAACCCTAAGCCTCTTGTGACAGCTCGCTTCAGGTTGCGGAGTCTGCGGGTTTAAGACCCGACGGTACAAGCCTCCTAAATTTTAAATACAGCAGAATCTCGTAAGAAGATATGATAGAGCAGAACAGCATATTCACACTAATTATAGTAGTAGCATAGGTTGCATGGATATAAACACAAAAGGGAATCATATATATGTATATACATACAGACATGCAGACACATGCTGGGTGGGAAAAAAAGGATGCAAGGTTCGGGGTGGCAATGTTAGACAGTCGACGACTGAGATGGCGCTGTGTGGACACTGGCGTGTCTCAACGCTGCCACACTTGAAAGCATCCCAAAACAAAAACTTCTGGTCTGGATGGAAGCAAACGACTTCGCCGGCTACACGCCCAGCGAAACGGTGCTGATGATGAACGCCTGGCCCAAAAGTAAAGCATCAGAGACACGGGGGCAGAACTCAGCGACTTCTTCGAAGAAACAATAAGACTCCCAAGATGCACACCCTAAGCCTGGAACCCTAAACCCGAAAACGATCCCCCCCCCTCGCAAACCAATCGAAACTTAAACCCTCGGCCCTGAAGCAGAGGCCCCAAGCCTGACTCTACAAGCAGCTAAGTGTTTGAAGGCTCTGGGTGCAGCCCCTCCTCAACTGTCTCCTCAATGTCCCGGGGTTGACGGAAAGTAAGGGACCCTTAGTATCGACCCCAAATAGTAGGATCCCCTGATAGTAAGGACCCCAAGAAGGTACCCCGAATTTCGGAACACCCCCCCATGCAATGCTCCCCAAGTTCCGAAAAATCAGCCAGCCAGCCCCTCCGCCGGCCAAGATCCCCGTTGTGGGCGACACCGTCCAGGGCGATCAACAGCGAACTGCCGTCGAACTACCTCCGCTGCGGCAGGCGGGGGTTTAGGGTTTAGGGTTTAGGGTTTAGGGTTTAGGGTTTAGGGTTTAGGGTTTAGGGTTTAAGGGGCATTTAGGCTTGAGAGTTTAGGTATTGACCTGGACAGAAGACTCAAGTCGTGCGCCCACTTCTGTGGTAAATGGGAGCCGTGAACCCTAAATCCTGATAAACCCTAAACTCACTCTTTTGTTCCTCAGACTCAGACATAGGTAACGGTATAAGCACAATGCGGCCCAAACCCCTCAGCGTCTCCCCCCCCCCCACCCCCGCCGCGGCCCCTCTGCAAAGCCCAAACCCCAAATCCTAACTAAGGGTTTAGGGTTTAGGGTTGAGGGTTTAGGGGTCAGGGTGTTGGGTTTCGGGATCCAACACCTTGTAAGCCCTGAGCGTCTTCAAACTTCAAACCCCAACCCCAAATCGCAACACCTACAAGCTCTTAACTTTCCTAATCCGCCATATGCCCGGAAGCCCTGAAGCCCTACACCCTCAACCCTAAACCCAAACCCTAAACTCTAAACCCTAAACCCCAAACCAGGAGGCGTCCCTTGAGATCGCCACGGAGGTGGTGCAAGGACCGCCGATGCCCACGGAGTATGCCCGAAGCTTGGGAGGAGGGTTTGGAGTTTAGGGCTTAGGGTTTAGGGTTTAGGGTTTAGAGTTTCGGTCGTAGTGCCCTCTTCGGTGTGCCTAGGTTTCTACATTGGAAATAAGATAATCAGAAAGTTGCGGGGTGTCCCACCAAAGGAACCCCTAAACCCTAAACCCTCCTGTTAGGGTTTAGGATTTGTAGGCACGGTCTGCTTTACGCAGCTAACACAGGGCTATTGACTTAGGGCTTGAGGGGGGGGGGCGGTCTGAGGCCGTTTTGCGGTATGAGTGAAGATAGACATCCCTATCTATAGCTCGTGCAAGGCCCGACAGGAGCTGCAGGCGGGGCTTGAGGCTTCGAAGCGCGCAACACGAGAACCCTAAACCCTAAACCCTGAACCCAGAGAGTAGCTTTAGCTTAGAGCTGTCTTCGCCCTCACCAAGGCCCCTAACTAAGGACTTTTCCTTAGACGTCCCATACATGACTCTGCTACAACTTGTGGCAGACGGTTCCCCACACCCTAAACCCTAAACCCTAAACCCTAAACCCTAAACCCTAAACCCTAAACCCTAAACCCTAAACCCTAAACCCTAAACCCTAAACCCTAAACCCTAAACCCTAAACCCGATCCCCCTTCAGCCTTGAAGCCATCGACCATAGAGCTGAGGTTCAGGGACTCCGAACACAGGGCGACGCCCTGCCTGTGCAGCCCGCATCAGCACAAACCATGTCCAGACCTCGGTAGGCTTTAGGGTTTTAGGGTTTAGGGTTTAGGGCTTAGGGCTTAGGGTTTAGGGTTTAGGGTTCAGGTTTTAGGGTTCAGGGTTCAGGGTTCAGGGTTCAGGGCAACTCCTGGGCTCCATCCTAGTGGCATGAGGGTTGGGGTCCTCGCACGGGCTCAACAATCCCCAGCCCAGGTTTTGGGTGAAGGGTTTAGGTCTAGGGTGTTCCTGAACGCTCTCACGCAAAGCAAGACAAGGGGCTCCACACCCTAAACCCTAAGCCCCAAACCCTAATCCCTAAATCCTCAACCCTAAACCCCAAACCCCAAACCCTAAACCCTAAACCCCAAACCCTAAACCCTAAACCCTAAACCTGCTTCTCAGGCCTCTCTCCTCACGGACGTTGTCGCCCCAGCCTCTAGCAACTGCGCCTTTGTCGATGTCGCCCATGCCAACCGCGCCTATGTCGATGTCGCCCATGTCGCCGCAGACCCAGGGGTTTCAAAGGGCTTTAGGTCTGAAGGTTGTGATGGTTCAGAGGAAACCTCGGGTTGCAGGAATTTCTGAACCTTTCTTGAGATCTCCGACACCTTAGAGGAGTGGAGGCCGCTTGAAGACCCATAAGTCCCCCAAGAACCTCAATGCCGTGAACCCAAACCCTGAAATTTTCTGTAACCCTAAACCCTTGTAGGGCTTTGGGACCTTAAGGTGTAGGGTAGCAAACAAGGCGCCCCGAATGCTCATGGGTTGCCCTACTACCCCGCTGAATATTACCCCCCCCCCCCCCCCCTAGGTTCCCCCCATACTGAAGGCGCTTTGGGGATACTTTTAGTAGCCCAGTGGTACCCTTTACCCTTTTTTTGGTTATGGGTTCCCTTATAAGTAACTAACCCCAAAAAGGGTGCCCTTATTATGGCTACTGGGCTACTAAGTAATTAAGCCCTTCATGAAGGTTATTTAAGGGGGAACCTATAGAGGGGGTAGTATAGGGGGGGGGGGGTGGTAGGGGAACCTGTGGAACGCCTTCAACTTTAAACCCGAAACCCGAAACCCGAAACCCTAAACCCGAAACCCGAAACCCGAAACCCTAAACCCTAAACCCTAAACCCTAAACCCTAAACCCTAAACCAACCCTAAACCCTAAACCCCCAAGCAGCACCCTAAAATTAAACTCGAGGCTTGGTGCTCCTTCCTCATCGGGGGTGCCGTCGGTGACGCGGCTGCCGGCGGCTCACAGGGTCAGTGAACCCTAAACCCTAAACCCTAAACCCTAAACCCCAAACCCTAAACCCCAAACCCTAAACCCTAAACCCCAAACCCTAAGCCCTAAACTCCAAGCCCTATATGAAACAGGGTTCATATTGCTGTTTTTGGTGAGTGTGTACAAGGTTCCTTTTTGATATTGGTGTGAGTGTATACATTGGGTGTCCAGTTGGGGGGGGGGGTACAAGAAATTTAAACCCTACTTCATATGGTGCTTATTAACCTCAGGTTTTAAGGTTTAGTGTTTAGGGGCTAGGGGCTTACTTGTAGGTGAACCCACCCCTTGAGTGCCCTTACATCGTTCTGATTGGGTTATAGGTACAGGTAGAACTGAGCTAGTTGCCATGAGGAGAGGCACGTTCGCAGCGACAACAAACACCAAACCCTGAACCCTGAAGCTTTAAAACCCGAAACCTTAAATCCGAATCCTCAACCTAAAACCCCTGAACCCTAAACCCCGAACCCTTAAGCCCCTAAACCCTCAACCCTCAACCTCAACCAACCCTCAACCCTCAACCCTCAACCCTCAACCCTCAACCCTCAACCCTCAACCCTAAACCCTAAACCCTAAACCCTAAACCCCAAACCCCAAACCCTAAACCCTAAACCCTAAACCCTAAACCCTAAACCCTAAACCCTAAACCCTAAACCCTAAACCCTAAACCCCGAAGCTGAGGCCTCCAGCGATGGGAGCGATGGGAACGCTGGGAACTGGCTTGTGGGCGAATAGCCCCAGCATCGTCACGGCCTGCAACAGCCCGAGGCCCCTCAAAGGGGTTTAGGGTTTAGGGTTTAGGGTTTAGGGTTTAGGGTTTAGGGTGTAGGGTTTAGGGTTTAGGTTAGAGAGGTCTTAGGGAAGGGGTGGTTCAAGGGGGTAGGTACCTAGGGAGCCTTATTCGCTCCGTCAAGCCACCCCTGAACCTCGAACCCTAGATGCTCACCCCAAAACCCCAGAAGCTTGACCCCCGGCCTTGACCTTGCGCTTGTTGTGGGCCCGTTGTGTCTCTAGGGTATGTCATCTTTAGGAGCCGTTGGTCGTTGGGGTTGAGGTGCTCCTGTATGTGCTGAGCATGACTCGGAAACAGATTGTTGGGGTCTAAGGGCTCTAAGTTTCAGGATTGACTGGAGCATTTTGACCATTAAAAGCGCCTGCTTTGCTCCCTCCCTACCTCCCCACCAGCCCCGCCCCAACCCTGAGTAAGAAGCTAGCATTCAGTTGCTCGGCCCGACTGCGGCATTCAGCAACCACGAGGACTTTGTAAGATTCTAGGTCTTAGGGGGCGTGGTGCTGTACCCATTCCTGTCGACGATTCCGCCGCAGTGTTGATTGTACTGCTGGCAAGTACACCCACGCAAACCGAGACTCTATACCCTAAACTTTAAATCCTGAGCCTTAAACCCTAAACCCTAGGACCCCCGAGAGGCAACCCGAAAACCCCAAACCCGGTTTGTGTTGGTTCGTTGCCCTTACAGACACCATCAAGCATAAACAACGGGTTCGCTGTTTACTCCCAGTTTACAGCCAACTGGTCCTAGAGCCTACGAAGTCTAGTTGGCTTGGTAGCCCAGTGGTACCCTTTACCCATTTTTTTGGTTCTGGGTTGCCTAAGTAACCAACCAAAAAGAGGGTAACCCTAAACCCTGCCCCCTAAACCCAAAAAGCAGGGTGCCCTTGTTATGACATGGCTACTGAGCTACGAAGTTGGTGTCGTGCGCAGGTTTTTGATGATCGTCATTTAGGGTTCTAAGGGTTCCTGTATGAGATCTAGGGTTTAGGGTTTGGGGTTTAGGGTTTAGGGTTTAGGGTTTAGGGTTTAGGGTACCCTAAATAACCTGAAGCACAGCAGCCCAGGCAGTGCATGACGCCAGTCTTGTGAGTCTGCGGGTACAAGGAAAATGGATCTGAGGGATTCGGTGGACCAACTTGCTTGGGGAACCCTAAACCCTGAACCCTAAACCCTAAAACCTAAATAAACCCTAAACCCTAAACGGGTTTAGGGCTTACCAAGTTGCAGCTTTCCCAGATGCTAGCATTGCCAGGGCACTTGAGGGAACATGCACCACGAAGCAGCACCAACCTAATCCATGTACTCAAACAGCATCTACTTTGGCCTTACAAGGTGTTCCCATATAGTAGCTTTAAGAATTAGACAATCTATACAGCTTAGGGTTAGGGTTTAGGGTTTAGGGTTTAGGGTTTAGGGTTTAGGGTTTAGGGTTTAGGGTACATGGACCCTTAAGGCCATGAGTCAGCCGGCTCTCGCACGTGAACAGCTTTGACGAAGTTTGATCTACCGAAGTCAAGCGTGGTGTTGATGTTGATGTCCAGTGGACCCTAGCATCTCTACAAAACCCTAAACCCTAAACCCTAAACCCTAAACCCTAAACCCTAAACCCTAAACCTAAACCCTAAAAGCTAGGGATTCTAACTATTCAGGCCGCCACTAACCCCTGAAATCTTGCACCCTGGCTACCGAACCCTTCACACGTTGTTTTGCGGGTAGACACAACTCGTCGACTTGTATATAGCGGACAAATGCTGCAGGCTGCTGGAGAGAGGATTACCCTAAAACCCGAAACCCGAAACCCTAAATCCTAAACCCTAAACCCTAAACCCTAAACCCTAAACCCTAAACCCTAACGACAAGGTTGGGGTCTCTGGATTGACAAGTTGGGCTAGCTTTTTGGTCACCAGGATGGGCTAGTAGGCCTCATAACTCCCATAGATCAACCCTATGAAGAGCCATTTTTAAAGGGGTTATAGGGTGGAATAGCCCATCCGGCAAAAAGGGGTTCAAGCTTAGACAACTCCGGAACCTTAAAACCTCTGAACCCCGGGCTTTGAGTGGTTTAGGGCAAGAAGCGCCATGCCGGGCATCGAATTTTGCTTCAATCTGCACAGATGGCATCGAGGGCACGGAGGATATGTCCATGTAGGCCTCTGCGTGCAGCACCGTGCGACGGTTGTGACGTCTCACCCCGGGCATGCGTGCAAGCAGTGATGTCCTATGCTGCCTTCGGAACTGTGTGGCCAAGCACGGTCTTTAGGCTGCAGTGTTGTATGTTCCTGGCTTCACTGATTTTAGGCCATGCGTTGTGAGGTGTACTTTGCTGTACTGGGAAGGTGCCCGGACGGCAATCTTTTCGATTGCTGGACAACGCCGGCGAGGCGTGTTAACGAGCTACACGGGGAAAACATGGCGGTGCGACTCTGCCCTCTGCCCCCTGAACCTTGAACCCTGAACCCTGAACCCTCAACCCCGAACCCTGAACCCTAAACCTTAACCCTAAACCCTAAACCCTAAACTCTACATAGTAAGGGTCCATCAAAAGTTAAAGGTGTGTGTCTTAGATGAGGGATATCGGGCTCCCTGGGTAAATGAAGTCACCCATGTTGCATTGAATGTTTGAGTTCATGTTCGTTTACCCTGAAGACCTCTCACTCACCCTCGTGTATAGGGCTTCGGGCTCTAAGCAAGGGCATGATTTTTCTTACACGTTGAACCCTACAAATGGAAGATGCTTTGTGCCTGCTTCATTCAGGAGGTTCGAGGAATAAGGGCTCAGGGCTTCAGCTTGCCCCATCGCATGCAACCCCCAACCCGCAACGAAGCTGCCCTCCCTCTCCCCCCCCCCCCCCACATGGTGCATCCCCAAACCCGACCTAAACCCTGCACCATAACCTAAATAAACCCTAAACCTTGACCCCTCAACACGAAACCCCAATTGCATAGTCGAAAGATCCGAAACCCTTAGAACACTCCCAAGACTGCAACTTGCCAAACCATGCCCCTTGAAGAAACGGTAGGCCTAGTCATCCCAATCCCTCAACCTCTTAAGTTAAAAGCCATGTCTCTTCATACTCTAACCTGGATGAGGATCCGGCTTAAACCCTAAACCCAAAACCCCAAAATCCCAAAACCCCAAAACCCCAAAACCCCAAAACCCCAAAACCCCAAAATCCCAAAACCCCAAACCATAAACCCTAAACCCTTAACCTTAAACCCTAAACCCAAAACCCCATATGTCATGAACCTTCCTTAATTAAAGGGCTCTGGAGCCCGCCGGGGTGTGCGGGTGCGCTTCCCATGGCCATGGTGGTCGCGAAGATTTCGCAACAATGGAGGCTGCCTCTGTTGTCAGCCTTTTAAGTGTTCTTTCCATAGCCCCGTAGGAATTATATTCTTTTTCTAATGTACATAAAACCCAGGGCAATAATTGAAAAGTTTGTTCGTCTTGAGGTTCTAAGGGGACTATAGCTTTCTTGTTTTACCAGGTTTTAGGGGTTGATCATCTTTCTTTCGGTTGGGGGTGGCGGGGGTGGTGCAAGCTGCTGCATGTGTTACAGAATTTCCGAAGCCTTTTCCTGTAAAACCGGCTCAGGAGGTGTTAGAGGCTTGGGCGGGTTTGGGTGCGTAGACTCGTCTGGTGTCTAGGGGTCGGATGATCAGGGACCTTGTGAGAATATCGCCCAAACCCTGCACCCTAAACTCTAAGAGCCTAAACCCTAAACCCTAAACCCTAAACCCTAAACTCTACACCCTCGCCTGCCAGAGCTTCGCGAACCTCCACAGAATTTCTTGGCAGGTTGAGGCTTTGCCTTTAGGGTTGAAGCCTAAACCCTACAGCCCTACCCTAAACCCTAAACCCTAAACCCTAAACCCTAAACCCTAAACCCTAAACAAAAAGGAGAACATGCCCTAGACTCATATTGGGTCATTCTTCGGAACCCTTAGGCGTCATCCTGAACCCTAAACCGTAAGCCCCAAACCCTCAACCTTACTTCACCCTAAACCCTAAACCCTAAACCCTAAACCCTAAACCCTAAACCCTAAACCCTAAACCCTAAACCCTAAACCCTAAACCCTAAACCCTAAACCCTCAACCCTACCTCTTTGGATCCTCCCAGGGCGAATTCCCTGCGGAGGAAACCAGCAAGCCGAAGTCCTAGCCCTGACCCCCGAAATTCCAGCCCTGGGTCTAGAGGTTTAGGGTTTAGGGGTTTAGGGTTTAGGGACTTCGGGTTTAGGGTTTAGGGTTTATGTTTCAGCGTTTAGAGGTTCAGGGTGGGTTTAGGGTTTCGGGTGTAGGTTTAGGGTTTTTGGGGCTCAGGGTTCCGGATTCCCAGCCTCTTGTGCAGCTAATCTCCTGTCATTGAGCCCTAAACCCTAAACCCTAAACCCTAAACCATAAACCCTAAACCCTCCGGATCCAAGAACCGTTCAGGAGGTCGGGACGACTAGCGAGCTGCAGGCATGCTCCCGAGGGTTTTCGGGTTTAGGGATTTGGGACCTCGTTCCGCAAGTGCCTACTTGGGTCGGCATACAAGGGTCAGAACTGTAGGGTTTAGGGTTTAGGGTTTAGGGTTTAGGGTTTAGGGTTTAGGGTTTGGGTTTAGGGTTCAACTACATGCTTAGGGGTTAAGTCCTTACTTTGGCCTTCTGCAGGTTCTCTGACCGAGTGCTTCTGATGTAACCTTGCAAGTGAATGATCCCTATACTGCCCTTGTAAGGAAGTTTTTTTTTTGGGGTTTAGGGTTTAGGGTTTAGGGTTTAGGGTTTAGGTTTTTTTTTTTTTTTTGGGGGGGGGGGTTCTTATGCAATCGCAATGCATGCAGCAGCTTCATGTGCAAAGGGACCCTGTTGACGAAGAACTAGGATGCCATCTAGGTGCCCTTTTAAAGCCTTTAAGCCAAAAAAGAGCAGCCCTTTTTCGTCCTAGGTTACGTGGCAACCTAGAGAAGGCTTCAACGGGCCGTTTCCACAACTCAGCTGATCCCTCAACACCAAGACCATAGATCCTCATGGGTTCCTATAGTACCCCCCCCCCCCCTATTCTCCCCAGTATTAAGGCTATTTAGGATAGTTTGTCCCAATCCCAATTAAGGCATTTTTTACAGATCCTCGCTGTTCGCAGCTCCTTTGCCGCAAATATCTGGCTCTCAGCAGCGCGTGGGGGAAGTGGCATGATACAGAAGGGACCAGCAAGGTAGTCTTCATCCGGACCCATCGTCCCCCCCCCCCCCCCCCCCCCCCTAATCAAGAAAGATGCATCAAAACACCCTAAACCCTAAACGCTTAAACCTTCAACCCTAAACCCTGTGAAACCCTTACACCCTAAACCTTAAACCCTAGGCTATGGGGACCCTCATAGGCTCAAGCCGTATCTGAATTCCTGGCTTGAGAGGGTAGGGCTAGCTACATGGAACCGCGTTGGGGTTTACGTGCGGTTTGCGTCCCCTTTTAGGGTGGAATGAGGGTTTTAGGGTGCAGGGTTTGGGGTACGTACCCAAAACGGGACCCCCCTCCCCCACGGCAAACTGACAGTTTGTGTTTTGTAGGGTTTAGGGTTCAGGGTTCAGGGTTTAGGGTTTAGGGTTTAGGGTTTAAAGTTACGGGTTTTTCGGCTTTGACCATGTCGTACTTCGTCTTCCTCACGGAGAACAAGCGGGATGGCAACCTACGGACCTTCTGGTGGAGTCTTGGACGAAGCAGACGCGGTGTCTGTAAAACGCATGGCAGAACAATAGCTTGGTATACAGGCACATCTACATCTACATATACATATACATATACATATACATATATATATATATATCTATATATATATATATAATATGTGTGTATACACACACACACACATATATATATATCACAACCGAAATAAATGCTGCAATGTACCTATGTACACGCACTTGACGTATGGATTTCATTGCGGTGTGCCCTTCCGACGTGAACAGGACTGCCCTCATAGGCTGGAGACAAGCCCTAAGAGGAAACTGTCAAGCATCCCCTCGTCAGACCCATACGTTTGACATCACCCTAAACCCTAAACCCTAAACCCTAAACCCTAAACCCTAAACCCTGAACCCTAAACC